ATTCCAATAAAATGGACAACCTAGAAGAAATGGACAAATTTTTAGAAAGGTACAATCTCTCAAGACTGAACCAGGAAGTAACAGAAAATATGAACAGACCAATTACAAGTACTGAAATTGAATCTGTGATTTAAAAACTCCTAATAAACAAAAGTCCAGGACCAGATGGCTTCACAGGAGAATTCTACCAAACATTTCGAGAAGAGTTAACACCTATCCTTCTGGAACTATTCCAAAAAATTGCAGCGAAAGGAACACTTCCAAACTCATTCTATGAGGTCACCATCACCCTCATACCAAAACCAGACAAAGATACCACAAAAAAAGAAAATTACAGGCTAATATCACTCATGAACACAGATGCAAAAATCCTCAACAAAATAATAGCAAACTGAGTCCAACAATACATTAGAAGGATCATACACCATGATCAAGTAGGATTTATCCCAGGGATAAAAGGATTTTTCAATATCTGCAAATCAATCAGTGTGATACACCACATTAACAAATTGAAGGATAAAAACTACATGATCATCTCAATAGATGCACAAAAAGCTTTCGGTAAAATTTAACATCCATTTATGATTAAAAAAAAACAAAAGAAACTCTCCAGAAAGTGGGCATAGAGGGAAACTACCTCAACAGAATAAAGGTCATATATGACAAACCCACAGCTAACATCATACTCAAGGGTGAAAAGCTGAAAGCATTTCCTCTAAGATCAGGAACCAGACAAGGATGCCCACTCTCACGACTTTTGTTCAACATAGTACTGGAAGCCCTAGACACAGCAATCAAAGAAGAAAAAGAAATAAAAGGAATCCAAAGTGGAAAACAAGTAAAACTGTCACTGTTTGCAAATGACATGATACTATACACAGAAAATCCTAAAGACACCACGAGAAAACTACTAGAGCTCATCAATGAATTCAGTAAAGTTGTAGGATACAAAATTAATACACAGAAATCTGTTGCGTTTCTATCCCTAACAACAAAAGATCAGAAAGAGAAATTGAGGAAACAATCCCATTTACCACTGCATCAAAAAGAATAAAATACCTAGGAATAAACCTACCTAAGGAGACAAAAGACCTGTACTCCAAAGACTATAAGACACTGAAGAAAGAAATCAAAGATGACACAAACAAATGGAAAGATATACCATGTTCTTGGATTGGAAGAATCAATACCGTCAAAATGACTATATTACCCATGGCAACCTACAGATTCAATGCAATCCCTACCAAATTACCGATGGCATTTTTCACAGAGCTAGAACAAAAAAAAAATAAAATTTGTATGGAAACACAAAAGACCCCAAAAAACCAAAGCAATCTTGAGAAAGAAAAAGAAAGCTAGAGGAATCAGTCTCCCTGACTTCAGACTATACTGCACGGCTACAGTAATCAAAAGAGCATGGTACTGGCACAAAAACAGAAATATAGCTCAATGGAATAGGATAGAAAGCCCAGAAATAAATCCATACACCTATGGTCAATTAATCTATGACAAAGGAAGCAAGAATGTACAACAGAGAAGACAGTCTCTTCAATAAGTGGTGCTGGGAAAAGTGGACAGCTACCTGTAAAAGAATGAAATTAAAACATTCTCTAACACCATACACAAAAATAAACTCAAAATGGATTAAACACCTAAACGTAAAACCAGATACTATAAATCTCCTAAAGTAAAACATAGGCAGGACACTCTATGACATAAATCGCAGCAATATTTTTTTAGGTCCGTCTCCTACAATAATGGAAATAAAAACAAAAATAAACAGGACCTAATTAAACTTAAAATCTTTTGCACAGCAAAGGAAACCATAAACAAAACAAAAAGACAACCTCCAGAATGGGAGAAAATATTTGCAAACGATGCAACTGACAATGGATTAATCTGCAAAATATAAAACAGCTCATGCAGCTCAATATCAAAAAAACAAACAATCCAATCAAAAACTGGGCAGAAGATCTAAAAAGACATTTCTCCAAAGAAGACATACAGATGGCCAAAAGGCACATGAAGAGATGCTCCACATTGCTAATTATTAGAGAAATGCAAATCAAAACTACAATGACGGGGCTTCCCTGGTGGCGCAGTGGTTGAGAATCTGCCTGCTAATGCAGGGGACACGGGTTCGAGCCCTGGTCTGGGAAGATCCCACATGCCACAGAGCAACGAGGCCCGTGAGCCACAACTACTGAGCCTGCGCGTCTGGAGCCTGTGCTCCACGACAAAAGAGGCCACAATAGTGAGAGGCCCGCACACCACAATGAAGAGTGGCCCCTGCTTGCCGCAACTAGAGAAAGCCCTCACACAGAAACGAAGACCCAACACAGCCAAAAATAAATTAAAAAAAAAAAGAAACCAAACTACAGTGAGGTATCACCTCACACCGGTCAGAACAGCCATCATCAAAAAGTCTACAAATAATAAATGCTGGAGAGGGTGTGGAGGAAAGGGAACCGTCCTACACTGTTGTTGGGAATGTAAATTGGTGCAGCCACTATGGAAAACAGTACGGCGGTTCCTCAAAAACTAAAAATAGGGCTTCCCTGGTGGCGCAGTGGTTGAGAGTCCGCCTGCCGATGCAGGGGACATGGGTTCGTGCCCCAGTCCGGGAAGATCCCACATGCTGCGGGGCGGCTGGGCCCGTGAGCCATGGCCGCTGAGCCTGTGCGTCCGGAGCCTGTGCTCCGCAACAGGAGAGGCCACAACAGTGAGAGGCCTGTGTACCACAAAAAAACACGACAAAAACAGAAAAACTAAAAATAGAGTTGCTATATGATCCTGCAATCCCAACCCTGGGCATATACCTGGAGAAAACAATAATTCAAAAAGATACATGTGATTAGAGACCTAAATGTAAGACTGGACACTATAAAACTCTTAGAGGAAAACATAGGAAGAACACTCTTTGACATAAATCACAGCAAGATCTTTTTTGATCCACCTCCTAGAGTAATGGAAATAAAAACAAAAATAAACAAGTGGGACCTAATGAAACTTAAAAGCTTCTACAAAGCAAAGGAAACTACAAACAAGATGAAAAGACAACCCTCAGAATGGGAGAAAATATTTGCAAACAAATCAATGGACAAAGGATTAATCTCCAAAATATATAAACAGCTCATGCAGCTCTATATCAAAACAACAAACAACTCAATCAAAAAATGGGCAGAAGACCTAAATAGACATTTCTCCAAAGAAGACATACAGATGGCCAAGAAGCACATGGAAAGCTGCTCAACATCACTAATTATTAGAGAAATGCAAGTCAAAACTACAATGAGGTATCACCTCACACCAGTTAGAATGGCCATCATCAGAAAATCTACAAACAACAAATGCTGGAGAGAGTGTGGAGAAAAGGGAACCCTCCTACACTGTTGGTGGGAATGTAAATTGGTACAACCACTATGGAGAACAGTATGGAGGTTCCTTAAAAAACTAAAAATAGAATTACCATATGACCCAGCCATCCCACTACTGGGTATATACCCAGAGAAAACCATAATTCAAAAAGACACATGCATCCCAATGTTCACTGCTGCGCTACTTACAATAGCCAGGTCATGGAAGCAACCTAAATGCCCATCCACAGACGAATGGATAAAGAAGATGTGGCTCATATGTACAATAGAATATTACTCAGCCATAAAAAGGAACGAAATTGGGTCATTTGTAGAGACGTGGATGAATCTAGAGATTGTCATACAGAGTGAAGTAAGTCAGAAAGAGAAAAACAAATATCGTATATTAACGCATATATGTGGAACCTAGAAAAATGGTACAGATCAACTGGTTTGCAGGGCAGAAACTGAGACACAGGTGTAGAGAACAAACGTGTGGACATCAAGGGGGAAAGCGGCGAGGAGCAGTGGTGGTGCTGTGATGAAGTGGGAGATTGGGATTGACATATATACACTAATATGTATAAAATGGATAACTAATAAGAACCTGCTGTATAAAAAAATAAAATAAAATTCAAAAAAAACAAAAACAAAACAAAACCACAACAACAAAAAGATACACACACCACACCCTTCTTCACTGCAGCACTATTTACAATAGCCAAGACATGGAAGCAACCTAATTGTCCATCAACAGAGGAATGAATAAAGAAGATGTGATATATATACACACAATGGAATACTACTCAGCCATAAAAAGGAATGAAATAATGCCATTTGCAGCAACATGGATGGATGGACCTAGAGATTATCATACTAGGTGAAGTAAGTCAGAAAGAAAAAGACAAATACCATATGCTATCACTTATATGTGGAATCTAAAAAATGATACAAATGAACTTATTTACAAAACAGAAACAGACTCACAGACGTAGAAAACAAATTTATGGTTACCAAAGGGGAAAGGTCGGAGGGAAGGGATAAATTAGGAATTTGGAATTAGCAGATACATACTACTATATATAAAACAGATAAACAACAAGGACCTACTGTGTAGTACGGGGAACTATACTCGATATTTTATAATGACCTATATGGGAAACGTATCTGAAGAAGAATATATATCTGAAACATTTTGCTGAACACCTGAAACTAACACATTATAAATCAACTATACTTCAATGAAAAATAAATTAATTTAAAAAAGATTTAGAGAGAATATTTACTTTAGACAGTCTTGATGTACCAAACGATTACTTCAAACAGCTGGGTATTTTAAAGTTATCTCCCCAATGCCCTCTTAGTGCTCTAAAAATCACCTCTCTCAAATAAAGAGACAAACAGGTCTCCTTTCTTAAGCGTGTAATTTTTATAAATTGCATCAGACCCACAGTGAGTGTCTTCCTGGGAGTTTCACCAAAGCCAAAAAGAACTTCTGATATAAAACTGCAGCAGGAGATCGGGGAAAGAGAGTGGAATTGCGGGGTCACAGAACTGATCCGCAAGTTGTCCTTAGTCAAACCCACAAGTCGGTGCCCCAGGGGTGAAAGGACCGTGGGAGGCCAGCCGACAGCAGGGCTGGTCCTATCTCCCCTGCAGGGGTCGCAAGTGCAGCTCGCGCTCCAGCTGCTCGGCAGTCAGGGTACCCTGGATGGCCTCACAGCCCGGGTTGAACACGGAGTACGCGCTCTTCTCCCCCTCTGTCTTCTCCTCGGGGCCTCGTGTCCCCACATACATCCAGTAGAAGAGGGACAGGACAAAATAGGCCAGGCCAAATTCCAGTTGCACAAACAGTCCCAGCAGGACCAACCAGAGGAGCACCTTCAAGAAGGTGATGTTGGTCAGGAGAGACTGGTCCTGCGGGGGCGGGGCCGGCGGAAGCTCGGCTGGATTCCCCGGTGGCTGTGACGCATGGCCCCCAGGCCGAGCCGCTCCCTAGGACACACACAAACAAACCAAAGTAAGAATAATGGGCAGTGGGGCCGGGAGGATCAAAACCCATCTGGAGAGACAGCTGTCCTTGCTCGGGAAAGGCTTCCGGCTCATCTGTGTCTATTTTCTGGCCCTGCTAAGACAACCATCTCCAAAGAGCTCCTAAGCGTTCTGCTCCAACAGAATCAAAACTGATCAGTGAGATGTGAGCCGATGAAATCCTTACAGCATCAGAGGGATTCCCATCTGAGGCAGACATTTCCTCAGATTAATCTGTTGCTAACAGGAGCTAATTTGTGCCTGGTACAGAGACTCCCCCGTAATTGATAAGGCAGTGACCACATGCTTTCCACACAGAATCAATATGTTTGCTGCTTTGTCTAGAGGAGCTAAAATTTTGTTGAGTGACATGATTCTAAAATGAAGACTACACCAGAAACAGGAAACAAAAATCCCTTCCACACATTAAAAAGAAAGTCACTGTTATAGCCACAACCTTTCCATCCCCTGTGACCATCCTAAACACCCCCAGGATCTCCTAACTGGACTCCCCACCTCCTAACTCTTCCCTCCCCAAACCATCCTATGTACAGCTGCTAAATGGATCTGCTAAAACACCCATCAACCCCCTGCTCACAAACCTTTGACAAATTTTTATTGCCTACGGGTTAAAAATTAAACTGCTTGGGCTGGAATCCAAGGCCTTGCATTCACTCAACAGACAGAAATGCCAGTACACAGGCCCCTGCGCTGTGTGCTAATGGGAGACACAGGTACTTAAGGAGCTTTAGGGTGCTTGATCTCCAGTCCAGTATTTTCCAAACTTTTTTGGGTATGACCCACAATGAGAAATACATTTTGTACTGCAACCCCACACATATATATCAGGAGAAAAAAAGGTCACAAATCAACAAATACCTTCCTTACATATGAAGCTTTGATTTTCTATTCTATTTTTTTTTAATTTAGTTTTAACAGAGGACTAGATCCTCTAAATTGATTTCACCACCCACTAATGAGTCATGACTTGCAGTCTGTAAAACAGTGGTCTAAAAATTTTCTGAACAACATGACCCACAATCTATTGCTCTATAAATGAACCCTCTACTCCAGTTCAACCCAGAGACATGCCCCTTTGTGGCCAGGAACAGCCTCTGCTTCCTCTCCATTCCTCACCAACTTGCTTCCTCCAGGCAAGCATGACTGGTGAACTGTATATGCTCCGAACGCCTGAGTCATCAAGGAGGGTGTCCCCTCTGCCACCTAGAGCTCTGACTGGCTACTTCTCACTGAGCACCAAACTATTCGTCATTCAAGTGTCTCTCTTTTAATATAGGTCACATGTGTCCCTAGATTGTTGCACAAGGCCCCAAGCTACCATTTATTATCTTCTGGTGTCTCCAGAGCCAAACACAGTACCCCACACATAAGTTCTCAATACATAGCAGACTTTTAGCTCATTTATTCAATTATATCTCTTATTCTTCACGTGGCAATTTAAAAGGGACCACAAATATTATTTGGTCTCAATTAAAAATACAGGTCATCTGATTTATGTTGCTTCAGAAATTCTATATTGTTAAACCCTTGATTTTTAGTATCAATATTGTAATTATTACCTTTTCAATTAGATTGGAAAGGTTCTTAACATATAATCAACAATCCCCCACACACACAAATACACACATTTATTAAACAAATAAATGTCCCTTTCAGATTTAACCAGTGTGCACAATAGGGAAATCACTGAAGGTCTTAGCAGGGAACTAATACAATCTGATTAATATTTAAGACTATTCTGGCTGCCAGGCAGAAAATGGGCTGCAAGAGTAGAAGAAAGGAAATTGTTAGTAGCTCATGCAGGAGGCCCAGCAAGACAGGATCAGGCAGAGATTAGGGTGGTGACATGGAAGATGGAGAGAAATGATGGATACAGAATACATCCTAAATGTGTATGACTTGAAACTCACAGTAGATTGAATTTATTTTATTATTGAAGGAGTATAACAAGAATAATGCTATGGCCACCATTTACTGAGTGCCTTCAAGATGCCTGATCTGTAATCCAGCAAGCAGGTATTATTATTCCCAATTTACTGATAAGAAAACTCTGAGGTGTAAGCAACTCCCCTAAAGTCACACGGCTGGTGACAGGCAGAGATGAGTTTGGTCTAGCGTCCTAGGATGATCTCCCTCCAAAGCCCTTTTTACTTAATTAGGGCCTTTATGGGGGGGGGTGGTAAGAGGAAGGGTTAGAGAGCTAGAAGGAGATGAGGTGGGGTAGGGGGTTAAATGAACTGGCAAAGGGAACAAACAAAGAGGGGGGATAAGGAAATTCCTCCGCCTCGTTTGGCATTTGTTTTAGAACCAGTGTGCCTTCTGCTGTAAAAGCTGTGTGTGGAAGCGTTTGTGGTCACCACAGTCACCACAGCACATATGGTGCAGTTTAGGGAAGGGAATTCCGCTCCTTGAATACCAAGCTGCTTCCCACCTCAGGGCTTTTGCACTTGTGGTTCCCTCTGAGAGGAAAGCCCCTTCCCCTCACACCACCTGGCTGGCTCCCTCTTCTACAAACCTCAGTAAAAATGTCACCACATGGACCCTTGGCCTGTCCCAGGTTTCTGCAAAAGTGGCTCCTTCTTATGAAAATGGTGAGGTCACCTCCTCAGTGAGTCCTCCCTGCCCACCCAATTTAAAGTGGCACTCTGCACCCCTCACCCCCGATTCACTATCACAGCACCCCCCACCTTTTTGTAGCATTCATCATTCTGTTCTTTCAACTCGAAGGCAAGTTCTGTGAGAGCAGGGCTTTGTCTTTATCACACCGTCTCCTGGGATACAGGAAAGCAGCTGGAACATAGTGGGCACATGATAGGATTATACTGAATCAACGAATGCTGATGGGGGAAAGGGAAAAGTTAAAAGATGACTCCTGGATTTGAGGGGGTGATGCAAAGGCTGTGCTTGGCCAGGTGACGCCAAAGAAGGAGAGCATTTGAGCAGTGGGCCAACCTGAGCCAAGGCTTGGAAGGGAGGAATTGCAGGATGACTGTGGGCAATGGACCTTGGGGCTAGATGGTGCACTGGGGGCCTGGGAGGGAGACGGGGTGGGGTGTGGGGCTTGGCAGGACTTTTTAAAAGTTACAGGCATTTCTGTCCTAATGTGGTAGACGCTTGTCACAGAAAGGAATATTTTATTTTAGTGGACTGCTTTTCCCCAAGCTAAATTTGAGAGTGAGGAAAGGAGGAGGTGGATGCTTCCTTGTCAATGGCCAGCAAAAAGAAGCAATTAGAAACAGAAGGTTAAAGAAATCTCTGACAAGCCACTGTGTGCCACCTAAATTATTAGGTAGAGATGGATTATAAATTAGGGGAGAAAAAAAGCAGTTTAATGAGAATTTCACACCAGAACAAACCCAGGAATGGTAGCTGAGTCAATGAAAATGAGCTTCAAAGTTCCTCATGAAAAACAGAGTAATTAATAAGAAGCACTGGAGGTCCAGCATTTCCTCTCATCCCTTTGTCAGGCCATCAGCATTTGGGTTTTTAATAATGAAAACTTTCTCCAAGTTCAGCTTCTCTGGATCCAACTCAATGATCTCATATTCCTTTGGAAATGAGACATACAGTCAAAAACTCATTGTGTGGACTAGATACTATTTTGTAACTGGGAGAGGAAAAGAGGTAGAGGAAACGGATTCTAAAATCCTAACCAGGGACTTCCCTGGTGGTGCAGTGGTTAAGAATCCGCCTGCCAATTCAGGGGACACGAGTTCGAGGCCTGGTCCAGGAAGATCCCACATACCATGGAGCAACTAAGTCCGTGCATCACAGCTGCTGAGCCTGTGCTCGAGAGCCCGCAAGCCACAACTACTGAGGCCACGTGCCTAGAGCCCGTGCTCCACAATAGGAGAAGCCACCGCAAGGAGAAGCCACGAAGAGTAGCCCCTGCTCGCCCCAACAGGGGAAAGCCCACACACAGCAATGAAGACCCTACACAGCCAAAAATAAAATAAATAAAATAAATAAATTTATTTTAAAATAAATAAATAAAATCCTAAGCAATTGTACTCAGTGAGTTCTAATCAACAATAAAGTCATCCTGAGACAAACTGCATGCGAGGAAATGGACTGTTTGAAACCTGCTGCACTCTCTTTCTGCAAGTCAGTTGGAACCCTGAGTGTCATGGAGAATAATATCTAATCCAAACTGAGTACCAGTAAGCTCTCCTTGATTACAAAAAAAAAAATCCTTAAAACCAGATGTGGTCCAATGATAGATGAACTGAAGTAATTTTAAGAGGAGTATGGTACATTTTAATTTTCAGAAGGAATTTTTGGCTGTTACTGCACTTGGGAGGGACAGAGGCCATGTCACAGATTGCCTCACAGCACAGATATCCCCTTGATGTTTTGTCCTGTATTCCCACATAGATGCTCCAATCTCACACTCAAGTCATCACCTTGCCACCTTACTCATGAGGGAAAACGAAGATACTGAGACGTGAATAGGAAATTACCAAAGACTCACAGGGTGAAAAGGATATCATACTATTCTATATATTGTCTTTGCCTTGAACATTCATTGTTAAAACTTAAATAGGGCTTGCTAGTTCAATAGTGAGACAAAGGTACGTACCACCACGGGCAGTCAGTTACCACACTTTTGCGAATTTTGTATTCAAATGCCATTTCTAAAGCGCAGGCCATTTGGGTGACTGGCTGCATGTGGCCCAGAGGCGAAATCAAATGAAACTTTAATTACTGCCACTTTTTATCAGAAACCAATTAGACCTTTTACCCTCCATTAGCAGAGGGCTGTGACTCAACACTGTTGCGGAGCGGGGGCACAACGATAACTCAACTCGCTGTGAATAACACAAGGGCAGAGGTCCTTTCTTTCAGGATCCTAGACCCTCGCTTCAATCCTGGAGTCAGAGCTGCGTGGGTCGCGGGCTGTAAGGATAACGTGGAAGCCACTCATCAGGGCCCATGCGAGAGGCTGGAGACGCGAGGGCCCGCCCCCGAGCTGGCGGGAGGCGCCAGCAGCCCCGCCCCGCCCCCGAAGGCCCGGCTGAGATGCTATGGAGGGAGCTTGGCTGGCTGGCCGGGCTGCTCCTTGACGCCGCGAGGTGGGGGGCTGGGGGTGTTGCCACCACGTGGTGGCGGGGCGGGGCCTCGGCGGAGCTGCCAGAGAGGCCAAGTCGGCGGCTCCGAAGCCAGGTACCCGGGGTTGAGGCCTCGTTCCTCTCACCTGAGCGAGGTTGGGCTGGGCCTGGGCACTCGCGGGCCTCAGTTTCCACACCAGGAACCGTTTTAGCCAGCCTGGGGCTGCCTTTGGAGTTGCAGCTGCTTCCGCCTTCTCTCCCGAGGTTTGTGCACGCTGCCTCGAAGTGCTGGGTTCGGCCGCCAGCCCGGCTCGCTTCCTGGCCTCCCGGAACTCAGCTAACCGCGTCTCCATAGCGCGCACCCCGTTTCCCGCGCTCCCGAGGACGCGCGCGCGCCCGCTCGCAGGGGCACCTGTCCCTGCTTTGCCCGGCTCAAGGCTGCAGTGCGCCTGCGTAGCGGCGGCTGTATGCTGCGCGTGCGCGTTGTGGGCCCGGGGCTCAGGCCGGGCGTTCGCCGAGCTTGTGACGTTCCGTGAGCTGAGTGTACAGCTGGTTGTTCCCTCCAAACGCGTGGACGCGGTGTTCACGTCCTCGCCCCGGGCTAAGCTCTGCCGTTCTCCATCTCACCTCAGGGATCTGCTCCCTAACAGGTGGAGTATCGTCTAGCCGTTCAGCAGATTGAGATTGAGAAAGTGGACCTGGGGCATTGAAGAAGGCCCGTGTCGTGGTCTGTGGGATGTTCTGGTGTCAGAAGGAAGGCAGGATACAGCCTACCCTTTTCTTTTTAGCCGGTTTGCCAATCTTAGCAGTTTGGAGGGTGGCTTTCTCCTTGATCATATGGCAGGCAGTCTGTGCAGACGTCTCACTGGTCTGCCGCGCTGGAAACTACCTGTTGATGTGTCTAGATGGGCCAGAACCTTTAAACGGAACAAAACAAATCTTTTATTGGGGTGCAACTTAAAATACACAAATGTGAAGTGTTTGGCTCAGTACATCTGTATTAGGTGTACACCTATATAACTATTACCCAGATAAAGAACGTTTCTAGTACCCTGAAGACTCCCTTTGTGTCCTATCCCAGTCACTACTCACCCAGAAGGTCACAGTTCGGGTCAGGAACTGTTAGATTTTTAAAGCTCTAAGCATCTAGCTAAGTGCCACTCACTTAATTGAGGCTCAAATATTTCTTCGATCTTGCTGAGTGTGAGTCAAGAAATCAGATGACCTAGAATGGAGTCTTTCATTCACTTAGCAAATATTTATTGAGAGTCCTCTACGTGTCAAGTGTCATACCAGGGATGCTGGGGTGAAGGAAACCCTTGTTTTCGTAGTGCTTAGCATTCTAAATGGGAAGACTAATGCATAATTACATATTTATATTTAATATAACATCAGGTACTGATTAGTGCTGTGAAGAAAAGTAAAGTAAGGAATAAGGATGTTGGGGTTGTTTTGAGCCAATGACCAGGGAAGGCTTCTCTGAGGAGTTGTCATTTGAGCAGAGACCTAAATGAAATAAGTGGTGGGGGCATGTAGATATCTGGAGAAGAGTGTTTCAATCAGAGGAAACAGCAAGTGCAAAGGTTCCGAGACCTCAAGTACTATGCTTGACCTGCTCACAGAACATTAAGGGTCAGTTGGACCTTACAGGCCATGGTGGAGACTTTATACTACATTCTGAGTGTGATGGTAAGCGACTGGAGGACTTTGAGCAGATGACATGATCTGATGTATTTTTAAAGGATCACACGGGCTGCTGGAGGTGGGACCCTGGAAGAGGGCAAGTATAGAAGGAGGGAAACAAGTTCGGAGCAAGTACAGCGGTATAAAGAGAGTCTGGGAAGTTGGAACTAGAGTGGGAAGTGATGCAGGTGGTGAAAATTGGTCAGATTCTGAATATATTTTTGACTATCTGGGCCAACATAATGTGCAGCTGGATTGGATGTGGAGTGTGAGAAAAAGGAATCAAGGATGATGGATTTCCACCAGCCCCCCTCCCCACCAGTCCACACACCTGAGCAACCAAGTGAAGGATGCCAAGGCCCTCTACTGAGATGGAGGAAGACTAGGAAGAGAGGATTATTCGATAAACTTGGTGAGTTTTGTTTTGGACATGCCAAGAGTTTGAGATGCCTATTGGACAAACAGCATAGGCAATTGCATAGTGAAAACTGGAGTTCAGGGAAAAGTGAGAACTGGAGCTACATATTGGGAGTCATCAGCATGTGTGTGATATTTAAAGCCATGAGATCAACTAAGGAGTGAGTGTGGATAAAAAGAGGATACATGAGGACTGAGCCCCGAATAATTAGAGATGGTCTGTGAGACAGAAAAGAAATGGGCGTGTTATACCACAATGACCTGTCATTGAGAAGCCACAAGAAATTTCTTGCCCATCGTGGCGTCCAGAGTAGATCTGCTTCTCTGGAGGGGCTGGTGACTCTTTTATCGATTGTCTTTCCCACTTGATAATCACACTGAGACCTTAGAGCTGTATTTATCATCTACTTCTAGTAGGCGTTTAGACTTAAGGCATACGATTTGTGGGCTATTGCAATCAGGGTCTCTGGCAGGAAATATGGCACCTTCAAAAAGGTTAAGTAAGGAGAGCTTTGTGTTACAAAGATGTGGCGAAATTAAGGGAGCCAGCGAGGAAGTTCACAGGAAGTGTTACCAGCCTCTAGGCCTCAAGCAGGAGAGGAGAGAGTGGTCATCAGAACTCAGTGAGACCTGTAGCTATAGGAGAAGCCCGAGACGAAGGAGCCCTTAAACAGGTAGAGAAAGGTGGGAAGAGGATAAGAGGAGCAAACAGAGAATATCCAGCCAAGTGCTAATGGCATCTCTAGCGCCGTCTTGTTTCAGTAACCTTATTTTCCCTTTGCTTTGTTTAATGATGATAAATTTATTTTGTCTCAGTGCCTTGTAAACCTCTTTAAATTCTTTTTGGAAGAGGCTGAAAGAATGGGAAAAAGTAAAGATGAAAGAGATGAATATGAAGAACACCTCATGCCAAACTAACTCCTTTTCCTTTTTGGATAAGATTATGAGACTAGTGAGTAAGAAGGGTCCCAAAGTGTACTTAATGTGTGAATTTAAGTTTTATTATGAAATACTTTGTGTATACCAAATTTCATATATATAAATTGGACACATAATAAACATATATATAATGTGTATACATGTATATCTGTTTGTAAATTATAAGTAATAAAATATCCACATGCCCTCTTAGTATCCATGCCATGGAGAGTATACTTCCCCATTCTTTGTCTTTGAACTCAGCCATGCAAGTTGTTTTTGGCAAATGGGTGATGGCAGGTATTATACAAGTATGGGGGCTTGAAGTGTATTTGTCCTGTTGAGTTCACCCTCTTCATACTCTGCCCTGCCATGAGATGAGCTTGCAACAACTAGCCAGCTGGTCCAAGAATAATGAGAGTTTTGTGGATATGGTCACCCAGCTGACTCACTGACCAGTTGAGCCCAGCCCAAAATAGTTGCCCCTGGCTTACCCAAGATGTATGAAAAATAAATGTTTATTTTATGTCACAGAGATTTTGTGGGTTTTATTACACAGAAAAAGCTACTTAAAAAAATGAAAAGAAAAGAACGTTCCTCTGTGTGCCTGTGGTCCATTCCTGACTCCTACCCACCTCTTTAATCTATTAATGTAGTAAGTTACATGAATAGACTTTCTGTTAAATCATCCTACATTCCCGGAATAAACAAAACTGAGCCACTTTATGAAATATAAAATTCAAAGCTAGATCCAGTTTGGTAATCTTTAAGGAGTTTTGTATCTATGTGCATTAATGAGATTTTCCTATAATTTTTTTTCATGCACTGTTCTTGAAAGGTTTTGGCTTGAGGATTATGCTAGCTTTCTGAAATAAGCTGAAGTCTCCATCTCCCTCCCATCCCCCATTTTCTAGAACAGCTGGAGTAAAATAGGAATTAACTGGTTCTTGAATGTTTTATAAGACTTAGTAGTAAAACGATCTAGACCTGGTGTTTTCTTAGATCAGATAAATAAATGTAAGCTACAGTTAAGTGACTTCATAGCTGGTCAATACAGCCTTACCCAAAAAGAGTTAAGAAGTGGATCAACATCAGTCTGTCCTGTCTGATGTTTTTAGGAGTGGCATGGATGAAAATATAAAAGACAATTTATCGTGTTTTCAGGTAACAAAAATTTTACAGAGAAATCTACAATTACGTCTTTCAGGTAAAAAAAATAACGAATTTGATTCAATTTGTCATGATTAAAGTGTTGTGTAGATGCTCAGAGGGAATGCTAGTTCCTAGATTTGCATTTAAGTTTTTATATCTTTGTTTTTATTCCCTGATTGTTGGCTTGAGAGCAGTTTGTTTCAATATGACTTGGAGCTTTTCCCTGACCCCAGACTGGGGAGGAGGGGAGTATATGGTGGATGCTTCAGCTGCTCTAGTCAGTCCCATTGTCAGAGTGAGAGAGGACGCCCATACTCATGCTTTCTTTGGTCCTGTCCCTGCAGGCACCACATGTCAAGTTCTGAGCACTGTGCTTTATATGACAAGCCATAGGAATGTCCAAAGGAGAGTGGCCTGGATAGTGAAGTTTCTAGAAAAGGGTTTCTTGGCCTTGGTATTTTAGACATTTGGAGCCAGATAATTCTTTGTCTTGGGGGCCGTCCTGTATCTTGTAGGATTCTTAGCAACATCCCTGACCCCAAGCCGTACTTGCCAGTAGTGCTCCCTGGTAGTTATAACAGCCAGAAATGTCCCCAGACAGTGCCAGATGTCCCCTTGGTGGCAAATTTGCCGCTGGTTGCGAATGACTGGTCTAAAGACCATATTTTAATAAGAGTAATAAAGGCAGTGGATGATTTGGGCTGGGGAAGAAGAGTCATAGTGAAAACATGCCAGTCAGTTTTAGAAGCTGTTAAAAGGGCTATTGTGAATGGAGGAGCACAATCATTTTGTGTGGCTCCAAAAGGCAGAACTAAGGCCAACAGTTGGAAATTACAAGGTGACTAATGTGGAATCTTTTTAAAAAAGGGGGGGGGGCAGATTTTCCAGCAACTCAGTTATTCCAGAAATAGCAAGTTGCTGGAATAATTTCAGTGCAGTGAGTTCCCTGACACTAGCAGTATTCAAGCAGAGGCTGACAACCCCTTGTCAGGAATGTTGTAGAGGGGATTCTGGACTGAAGAGGGATTTGGTTAACGTAGACGATTACCAAGTCTCTTCCAACTGGAAAACTTTATGTTTTACTCCAAGTAGTGCAAACTGGGATGAGAAGATGGAAGACTTTGGGGCATCGGTCTAGAATGTGTCGCATAAGGTGTTGGTGCCCCTGCCCAGATCCCCTCAG